CCATATTCTACAGTTGCACGCTGGGCCAAGGAGTTTAAACTGGGCAGAACATCCACTGAAGATGAACATCGCGAAGGACGCCCATCCACGTCCCTCACTGAAGACAACATGAAAAAAGTCGAAGATGTTGTGTTGGCAGTTGAGTTGGCAGTCCTGAAACGAAACAACAATCGATGACTTGGAAGCGAGCCTCCTCACCGACGCCAAAGAAATTCAAAGTTTCAAGTTCGGCGAGAAAGGTTATGGCATCTGTTTTTTGGGACGCTCAAGGCATAATTATGGTGGAATATTTGGAAAAGGGAGCCACTATTATAGGCTCTTACTACGCAGACCAAATAAGAAGATTACACGGGAGGCCATTAAGGAAAAGACGCGGTAAAGTGCGAGCTGGAGTGCTGTTTCACCAAGACAACGCACCGGCTCACAAAGCCGCAGTTGCGATGGCTGCCATTCAAGAAACGAGATTCATACTGCTCGAACACCCTCCCTATTCGCCAGATCTAGCTCCTAGTGACTTCTACCTCTTTCCTCGGCTCAAGGAACGCCTCCGAGGCAAGAAATTCGAAGACGATAGCGAAGTAATGGCCGCTGTTGAAGCGTTTTGGGAGGGTCAAGACAAAGAATTTTTTTCAAAGGGAATCCTGCGTTTAGAAAAAAGATGGACTAAATGTATTGATTTGTTAGGAGACTATGTAGAAAAATAAATTATTATTTTAACTTTAATTACCGTGTTTTATTTTCATTATCATTACTTTTCGATCACCCCTCGTATAATAAGAAAAAAAAATCAGAAAGTCCACGGTTCAGAATAATTATTAAGCGGTTGTATTGGTGGTTGTGGTATATTATATTGTAAGTTAGTAAGAAATATAATACATGATAAAAGTAAAGACAATAGTATTTTAAAGAATAGAACAGGTCGGTCCTTTAAGGAGAACTCGTCATCAAGACGACGGTAGCTTAATGACTGTGTGCGGACCTCGAACTCAAAAGGTCGTGCGTTCGAATCCGCCATTCGACTATTGTGAACCACTCCTAACACAAGCGTTATAAGTTAACCAGGAGTGGTTAAAGGGAATATTAGTGATGTTTATAGCATTACGTGTATTTTTTACTAAATAATAATAATTTAATAAATGTAAAAACCGACTTCAGAAACTATAGTCGATGAACACATGATGAATCGAAGTATTAAAGCTGACTTTAGCATGTGAAAATCATATTACTTATCCTTGTTTTTGAAATAGATTTTTATATCTTCATTTAATAAAAGTTAAATATTTTTCCCCTTTTTGAGTTAGACCACTCAATAATAAATAATAAATATCACAAGTCCAAGATAACAACTAGAATGTTGTTACGTTAAAATCTTCATTCCTTACTTTTCAAAACTTTAGTGATAGATTTTTTTTTCAAATTTATAAAGCACCTCATTAAAAAAAAATAAACAATATTGTCATTTTCAACCGAAATCGGTTCGACCACTTCCGAGAAATCGGTGAGAATATTTGATATTAAATATATTTTCTAATATATTTAGTATTTCGGATTTGGTTAATAAAATAAGAGCATGCATATTAATGCCAGAGAATGCCAGAGTATATATGCAGACTTTAGCAATGGAACGATACATTCTGGGTAGCTTCCGCTGGTAATTATACGTTACCCTTACGGTTGTAAACATCCAAGAAGGCAACGTCATATTCATGAGTAGGTCTTCCTGGATGTTAAAGTAATACTCTACATCGAAACCCCTGCTGGACGCAAGCCTCCTCTCATCTCCGAGGGTTATGGGTGGGAAAGACCCGCCGCCGCTTTATGTTGCAGTGCGAATTGTCCGACGAGGTTGCTGATGTTTTACTTAACTAAAGATTATTTTTGTAAGTAGATGCTATGGCGAATAGACTACTAACTTCGATTAAAAATCAAAATGCAGTTGTTATCCCTGAGGACTAAAATGGATTAACCCGTTTGCAGTAAAAAACGGTGTCCGATTCTATCGACTCACCAAACACAGCAGCATTAAGCTGCTATATACGAATTCCGTGAGAGCGTGGTCCTTCTTTCCCGGTTGAGCCGACAAATCCTTGCTACAGCCACAATAATATAGCTGCAGCGTGTACCGATGTCGTTCACCGATAGTTGATATAAAACGACAAATTCTACGACAATGAGGAGTTTCCAGTTTTAATGAGTATTTCATTGTATTACTAAGTGATTTTTGTGAAGTGAGCCGCTTGGATTCAGGAAAGTCTTTTTTGCTCGGGCAAAATAGTCAGCAAATGAAATGAGTTTCAGAATAAACAAAGCCTCGATTTTTTTCACGATTTTCAGTCAACACTCGTCTATTCCGTCGAAACTTATTTCACCAAATTGGAGAATTATTAAAGTTAGATTAGAATTTTTTATATTCCACAAACATTCCGTTTATGAATTCGAAAGTGGGATTAAAAGTAAGTTTCCTTTTTGCCTAAGAAGCAGTCTGGGTTGGTGACAAAAATAACGAACAGGGTAACAAAGTTAACCATTTACCCTGTTTTTATTTTGTCTGATTGATTTGGTGATTGAGAAAATAGTTAACCAGCTGTCGCCAAGTTAATTGGTAAGTATAATGAAATCCTGTGAGGCAACAAAATATGCTTTCTCATAAATGAACGGCCTTTATTCAAATAAGCCAACTAAATTTGAATGCACTCAAAACAATAATTGTGATAACACGCTAAATTTAATTAAACAACTTGTTCCGAAATTGTTACAGTAACGTTTGAGAACTGCACATTAAAGCCGAGCCGTGTACCAAATTAACACATTCGACTCAAGTTTGCACATTAACAAGAGGCACAGTGCATACTGTCTTACAATTCCAAGACCATGCCTATTTGGTCTTATTAGGGTTTGGACACGAGTGAGGGGATGGCTCTCAAAGCAGTAGATAAGATCAGCGGTCGCGGCGATGGCGGCGTCATTGTGCGACACTCCGGTGCACAAAGCCCGCACAATGCACGCCTTCCCATTGTTTAACGTCTCGGACCATACACGTTGCCCGCTTTTAAACGAATTACCGCAACGAACTTCACACATGTCAGAGTTGCGCTGATAGCACGTAATATTATGTAACAGTATGCAGTACGCACAAAACGGTGCCTAATTTCCCAGCTATCTCGAATTTCTAAGTAGAATAATGATGGATTTCGTTTACGAATACTAGAAAGTGATAAGTATTCGATATACATAATATGCTTAATTCCCACAAGTTCAACTGATTAGTTCAAACATTGAACGATTGAGACTTTACTGTTCTTATTAGTTCAACGGAATATAATTACTTACGGTTCGGTTAGCAACCGCAGTTTTTATTTTTTTTGGTTACTATTAAAAAAACCAAGTTTGTTTCACTCTGTGTGTGTCGACTTTTATGACGCCCACGGGACGATAGGGCGTAGTGGATGTTTTTACACCGTCACGACACGTCAAATTAGAGACACGAAAATGATGAAAGTACTTTTAGACCCCTACGTAATTAAACAATGAAACTATCGCAAAACTACTTTATTTAGGCTTGATTCGCTGAAAGTCGAATTTATAGCAATTGAAATATAATGTTATAATATATTATAAAATTTTGCCTAATTTTTTTTTGCAATATTGGGTTGCGAGTTCATTTATTTAGGAAAATTACTCGAAGTGCAGCGCAATGTCCAGAGCGGAGCGATATGTCATCTGCCGGCCTTAGTGGGCCTTAGCACACACAGTACTGAAGCAGTCAGCAGCATTAACGGAGGTAACGAGAATATATTGAAAATAGGGATCGCCGCAAACAGAAGTCCTCGCGACTTTTCTTCGTCTGAAACCTTCGCCGAGCGAACAAGCCTGGTCCCGGATGCCGGTGTGTTTTATCTCTTGATCGCGTTATTCAACCGAGCATCAAAGGAAAATGTTACGGAAAAATATTGAAAGGCGACAATACAATTCAATTTCTTTGTTAAGTGAACGATACGATGTTATGAATATTAACACTGTTCGTGCAAATATACTACAGGGACCTGTGAAATAAGTAATAACAACGCAAAACAATTTGAATGACCCGAATTAACCGTGTGGTGCCGGTGTAAGAATATCCACTGCTCCATATCTCGTAGGCGTTGTAAGAGGTGACAAAGGGAAACTGATCCAGGAAATGGGTAGCACCATCTTCATAATCATAGCTGAATAAAAACGAAAAATTGCTTGTTAAGCATGGTGACTATGGCAAATATCATGAGGCAATATATGGGGGAGGCGTATGTTCAGCAGTTTACTTATGATAGACTGTAATGGTAAATGCAGTAGTAATTGGAATGAGACCATTTGTTTTAAAACGAATATACGGTGCAATTATAAACAAAATTTACAGTATTTTTTCGATAGCCGACCAACTGAATGCCTTATCAGTTTCAGCTTCGGGCGATGCAACAACAGAGGTGCGTTAACATGTCGAATTTAATTTTTATCATGTCGTGTTTGCCCGGAATACCTACACAGAATCACGTTATTCTGCGACCTGATAACGCCATATCGCATATAAGACTAGCCGGTAAATTATTGACTAATCTTAGTCAAAATTATAAAAATTGAAAATAGCGACTAAGTTTGTAATGTCATTAAAATTACAGACTAAGAAGAGAATCATTGTTCTTTAATTTGAAAAGAAGTCTAATTAAGTGACTAGTGACTTTAAAATTAATCCGTCTCGTTTTGCTTTATATGAACCCGTCGTCGTGTCATCGTCCTGCTCATTATTTTACTGCGATGCCAATTCCCATACAATGCTAGACGGCGGTGGTTACGGTAGGGCGGTTGACGTCATTATGTGCTAGCCTTGGAATGGAGGTCGGCGCACGTAATGGCGGCGTCGGAAATGTTTCGTTTAGGGTTGTAATAGAGGGATGTAAAATCATAAACCTATTTTTTTAAACCGGTCGGAATGAGTTAGGAAAGGTAAAATTACAAGTGACACTTACCTTGATACTATCGTAGCAAGCGGTGACTCTTCCGTTCTGCACCTCGACGGTTGCCGGGGGATGTGCGAACTTGCACTCGGTGTCGGGTCGCGAGCACTTATTCCTCTGGAACTCGCGGCACACTTCAAGTTGCAGCCAACGTGAGTCCTTGCCATTGAGGAGGTTATTCATGTTCACCATGGTTGCCATCGTTATCACTGGATTCTAGGGGAGGGGGGACACGCGCACGCAGTTACGCTGAGCGGGTGCGGTGCATAAGCCGCGGGGCGAGCGCGCCCAAGCGCTCTGAGCGTGCACTGCCAACACTCGCTGCGCTAATGGGGCCACGTAGTAGCGCCTGCAACCCTTCACTAGCACACACTACAGCACTCGCGTGGAGACACGATTTACGACGATGATCAACTTATTCGATATTAATCTTACAGTTAAGTTAGAATTAAAGACACTGATGTTGCAAGCTTTTTAGGCAAGTATTAAATAATTATTATCACACGCGTTGGTATCGATGTCGACGATCGAGTTTAGTAGAGGGCGAGCGGTGCTTGGTGCGCGGGCATGGCGGCGGCGGCCGGTGTGCAGGTCTGGGCGGGCGACGTGGGGCGCGGAAAAAGCGAGATTAGCGGCTCGGCGGTCAGCGAGCAAGCTGGTGCGGCGCGGGGCTCAACTCTGCGAACAACAAAACACACCGGTTACTCTCCGGGCTGTCCGCCCCGGAGCCAAGCTCAAGCGGCTACCGGGTTAGCAGGCGCGCCGCGGCCGCACACAGGCCCGCGCTGCCTGTGAAGTAGCACTGTCTTCCTGTGCCTTCGCACGAACACAGCGGTACCTCAAGTTTGTTATTTTGCGAGCAATAGCCTATTGTGAATTTACAATAGCTTGAAAGAACATGATGCTGTAAGTATCTTAACAAAGAGCTAGTTCGCGATAATTATATAATGAAGAACTATTATAAAATTAACAGTGAAAGGCAATTAAAATACAACATTTTGTACCTTTTTAAATAATTTTATATAAAATATTGAAAATTTGTTTTAAAAATAGGTAGTTCTGTCTTTTTATCACGTTTTTATTATGAACTAACTATACCTACTCATTCATATTGAAGTTAACATCATAGTGAAATTCATAAATTGTTAGTTGCGTTTTAGGTATGGGACGGTGACAGGTGAGTAGTACTCGTATGTGGTACCGACTCCGGACAGGTGCTCTACCAATAATAGCAACGCGTCTGCTTAGCGCATGTTCAATGGTTCAACTAGCGGCTAGCGGTACACAATTACATAACACGAACAGGACATGTACCTTCCACCAATCGTGCTTATCACTTCTGTCATTACAGTTATTAAATATACTTATATTGAGTAGGTGTGTTTCATAAGAATATTAAAAATGAGTCGCTGAGCAATAATCTCGCGGAAAAATTCTCAGTGTGGGCGCCGTCGCGTCGGTCGAAACGTGACGGTCTGGGGGCCGGGAACAGGGAAAAACTCGTGAAACCAAATCCTATCGTAATGCGCTATTTAAAGCATAACCCAGTTGAAAATAGCCCGGTGCGCGGCAACGCAGCGTCGCTCTCTTCACTGTGCATAAATCTTCAAATTTTATTTTCGATATGGATGCAACAAGAATTTTATTCCTGGCGTACACCCGTCCGTTTGGAGGGCATTTATATCACCAAATATAAAGTAGCTTATCCTTGTGTATGTGTATTCGCTTCAAATTTTAAAACTGCTTGTGAAGTGAGGAAGGTTTTTGTAAACAATACTAAATTTTTTATGTAAGGATAGTAGAGAAATTTAGTTTTATGACAGCAAAAAAAATACACACACACACTAGTGAGACGCGCCCATGCGAAGTCAGATCTGGTTGCTAGTAGAAAATGGAACGTAAACAACCCGCTTTGTTGCAACCTCTGACAGATATTCACTTTTGATCTTGGATTTGCGTTTCAATATATAGTAAAACAAATACTGTTTTGAGTCTGCTGAATTAGCCTGTTTCCTCTGAAGATTTGAAAAAGATCCGCCAGAGGAAGTACTAGTGGGGGTCACATATATTTTGATTTCCCTATTATACAGTAAGGTTAAATGTACAGTATAAAATAGGATTAACAGATGATGATGTACCCGGAGCAAAATTGAAATTTGAAAAAATTTAAGATTATCTTGCTCAAGATTTAAAACGATGGAGCCGTTGTTTATCTGTTTCAGATAGTAAAAATGTACTCGTAGAAAGGTTAGTTGTCGGTGACAGATCGTTTTATTTGTTGTCAGAGATTTAAATGTTTTAAGTACATATTTTTGTTAATGCCTTTTATTAATTTAAGAATTCATTGCGAAAGGTAATGATAAAATAATTTTTATTAGAATCGTTGGTGGTTAATGATGACGCATGAAATTACTCAATCCAGTTCCACAGACATCCTGCACTTTTCCTTTTTCAAATTGGACAATTTCCCCATCCCGCACTACTCCTCGTAATTTCTGTTATGCTACAATGTCAATGTCCTATTAATAATACTTTGAACTCATCTGACGATGATAATAATCACTCTAACTGTGGAAACTCAAAAGCACTGCAAAGAAGAAGGCAATATTGTTTAAGTGATTTAGTTTTAAACATGGAAGATAATGCGACTGATAAGAGTTTTTATACCATCTTGCTCGTATCAACTATCAGAAGTGCAATTCGCGAATGCACAATGTTTGGTAGGGATGATAATTTATTTTGTAATATTTTTTATTCACTTTATTAATTTATTTACTTTAATGGTTACATGCCTTTAACGTTACTGTCAATAGGGAAATCAAAACATGTGTATTGTGTGCCCCCTCTGCTAGTGCTGCCTCGGGCGGATATTTTCTTAAATCTTCAGGAGAAACAGGCTAATTAAAAAGCGACAGATTTATTTTTATAACTTTTTAGTAGCTACAGCTGTATGTATGTATGTATGTCGAAATATAATAGAATTTAAAAATTTAGTTTCACCCACTTCAGGACGTCAGAATAATCAGAAATTTTGCAGGCGTATAAAATACCGACGAAGCAATAATTATAAATTACTTAAGTTTTTTTAATACTTCAGTTTTTTTAACCTCTGTTATTAATTTTAGTATTATAAACTTTTCTGCACTAAATGGTAAATACCCACATATCATGAGTAAGTCCATACAAAGGTATATACTAACCAAATATAAGTACTTTACGGTACAATTGTGTATCTAAAACTGCCACGTTCAAATTAACATTAGAACTAAAGATAGGCCGAATATTCGTTTCATATTCGGTATTCGGCATATTCGATAGCTTTACCGAATATTCTTATTCGGCCGTATATTCGGTTAAATCACCGAACATTCATTTAAGTGGTACTCAGTGTCCACTGTATTGAAATATACGAATTGAGTAATGCCATGTCTTTCATAATTTCACAGTTTCACTGTTGAAAGTATATTTTGGGCTAAATCTGCTAGAAATGTTATATTTTTGAGGCACTATAGATTTATTTCCAATCATAGCAAATAGAAAGCTTGATAAAATATTTCTGGAATCAAACAAAGAAACATTACATTACATAAGTACATTTCACTTTACTTTGGTCGTCAGTTTCTCTAAAATAAGTCCAAATAGTAGATCACGTGCCACTCGTTTTTATCATATAATTATAATTTTTTACTAAGAATAACACAACGAAATACTTTTTTCTCACTAAAATAGTCAAAACATAAGCATGTGTCGGCAATTAGCTCAGTACTAGATGCTGTAATAAGATGTCAGGTGTGGCGGGGGAGCAAGGGGCAGGTGCCGGCGCTAATTCCGCGCGTTTTACGGCAAGTTTCGACATAAGTTGGTTAGTTATCAAGGTGATCCTGCCGAATATTCGGTTCGGTAAAAGTTTTTCCGAACTTTCGGCCGAATATTCGTATTCGGTGAAATCCATATTCGGCCATCGCTATCATATTGTTCTTGAAGATAAGTAAAAATTATCCAGTTTTGGAGAAGGAAACAGGGAAATACGAAATAATGATTTCGTTATTTTTTCTTAGGTAGGTATAATCAGTCCGAGCTGGAGTTTTCTCTTAGTTGTCCAGCTCGATCGTACGGCCTCAGCGCGATTTATGCCCAAATACTCAAACACTACTCATGTTTAAGATGCCGTCAAGTCTTGTGCTGTCTCACACTTAAAGTAATAAGTCAAAGTGACTGTGACACCACGAGACAAAATTGAGTATTTGGCCATTAATTGATTTATTTGTACCCACTGAACTACATGGCTGCGATGTCGCAGCAAGCCTTCGCCATTCCTGCACACGCACCGGGAAGACATTCAATAACACAGCGAAAAGATTACCAAGAGCAATCAGATGGAAGCGAATCTAAATAAGAATCTCTTGAGAGCGGTCGGACTAAAGGGTGGGGAAGGGAGAGAGAAAAAACACTTGGGTCGGGCCTTTGTGATCGGCGATTCGATCAAGTTGCCATCGAAGAATTTATTGTGCACTGTTTAATAGATATATCACGAACAGTACGGTCGAGTGCTTAGTGATCAATTAGTAATTACGTTTACGACACGATCGGGCCACTCGCTCCGCATCCGTGGTCTTGACCGGGACTCGAACCTGGCTCTCCCACCGCCTCGGAGGGCGCTCTTACCACTAAGCTATCAAGACAATTAGAATGCGAGGAGTTCGCCTGAAATGTCATATCAATATTATGAAAATCCGTGCATTGATTGATTGATGTATTTATCTTAAGCGAAGTGCATTGAATGACGACATTATCATGAACTCGAATGTGTAACAGTATAATATTATATATTACCACTAGTAGATTAATAAATAAAGCTCTGTTCTGCTAGATTTATGAAATTTAAATACATAAGACGTAACACTTAAAAGATTTAAAAATTACAACTTCACTTTATTAAAAATATAAATATTGATATAGTGAATATAATTTAACAATTCAATTTAAATGTAAAATTGCATTTTACACTCCACAGGTTTTTAGTGCACTTACGGTCGGTACTGAGGTGTTTACATCGCATCTCATATTTATCCGTACTACCTTTAAGAATTAAAAGCTTAAAGGAGCTTATGTTAACTATGACATGAGGTTGGCAAACACCTCAGTCCCTCGTGAATAATTGTAAATTGGTGCTGAAAAGCTAGCTAATAAGTAAAACGAAACGCGGTAACAGATTTTGGTAGGAAATAAGTGATTAAATATAAAATGATTATATTTAATTATACAATTTCTTTAATAGATCTTGATACAAGAATTCACAATGTGTTGCTACACTCGACCGTAACTTTCAAACGACTGTGTGTTCTGACTCAACTGTACTTGACGTTGCGTCAAAACGCACTGTTACTATCGGTAAGGGGTAAATGGACCTCAGAGCGTTTAGCGCAGCGTGCGGCGAAACGCCATCGACCGCCACTAAGGGCACTGTAATACTAGAGCGCGAGTTATCATGACACAACGCTGCACGCTCCGCCATATACTCTGTACTGAGATCCTACACAATCTTGTTGTGCGCTCCTAATAACAAAACAAGTAGCATATTTTTCTTCTAGTATTCTTGTAACTTTTTACGATTTGACCAATTGAGAACATATTCAAACAATGAATTTGTTTTGACGAAAAGAAGGTTCATGGCAAGGCTAGTCCGATAAGTGGCAGTATAGTTAATACCAAATTATTTATATATCAGAATGACATTTACAAAATATGATGGTT